TCCATCCCCCCCCCCATCGCCATGCGCGCCCAGCTCCCCACTCATTCCCTCCCTTCCCCTTCCCCCCATGTCACATCTCACGTAAGCGCGAAGCTGTGGGCGACATGCCCCAGGTGCAGGCGCTTGACGTGGAAGATGTCCTTGACGGCGGCGGGGTGCGCGGCGTAGGCACGCACCCAGGACCTGAAGGCCGCGGCGGCCAGCGCGGTGAGCGCCGCGTCGGCCGCCACCACGCCCATCAGCCGCCGCTGCAGCGCGTAGGCGCCCTGGTGCCGCTCCAGGGGCAGGCCCCGCTCGTCCCGCGCCAGCTTCCCCGCGCGCCGGTCGAGGCCCAGCGCGCCGTCCAGCAGGCGCGTGGCGTCCAGCGCCGCCAGGCGCACGCCGCGCTCCGCCAGGCGGCCCACGTACCCAGCCTCGCCCGGCTGCAGGAAGAGCACGGCCTCGCCGGCCGCGCCGCCGCGCGCGGCGCGGCCCACGCGGTGCACATACTCGCCTGCGTCGCCCGGGGGGTCCACCTGCAGCGTGGCGGTGACGCCGGGGAAGTCCAGCCCGCGGGCCGCGACGTCTGTGCAGAGCAGCACGCCGCGCGGTGAGCGCATGAAGGCCGCGAACGCCTTGGTCCGTGAGGCCTGAGGGGGGTGGGGAAGGGTGGGGTGTCGTTTTGGGGCGGGAGGGGTTGATGTGCAGGGAAGAGGGACCGCATGTGGCGCTGCAACTTCGGGTGCCTGCCGCGGCTGTTCCACCTGCTGTGCTCGAAACCCCCCCCACACCACCACCACCTTTTGACACATCACTCAACACCCCCACGCGTCGAGTTCCCGCTCAGTCCTATCCTGAAACCCACCTGGTCCATGTCGCCGTGCAGCTTAAGCACCGGCAAGGCATCCAGCGGGTCGTCGCTCTGCAGCTGGCCCACCGCCTCCTGCCAGGCGCCGTGCAGGACGGCGTGGTAAAACTCCACCGAGTCGCGGGTAGAGAGGAAGACCAGGATGCGCGCGGCGGGGGCGGCCAGGCGGGCGCGCAGGAAGGCAGCCAGGGCGACGAAGCGCAGTTTGCACGGCACCTGAGAGACACGAGGAGTGAGGGGAGAGGAGGGGTGAGGGAGGGGAGAAGCAGGGGGGAATCGGGTCAGGGAGTGGGAGGCGAAGAGGGCCTTGTGGTCGAGGACTGTGCAGAGTCCCGTCTGTGGGGACAGCTTGGATGGCACATGAACCTTCCCACCATCCACACCCGCCCCCGCAAACCACCTCGACATAGAACTGGCGGAGCTGCGGGGGAATGACATACTGCTGGACCTGCGCTGCACCGTTGGCCGCCCCGGGGACGAGCGGCGCAGCAGCGTCCTCCGCTGGGGAACCGGGAACAGCCGAGTGGCCAGTTGCCGTGCTATCCTCCAGACCTGTGGCAGGGAAGAGGTGGCTGAAGACCTGGAAAAGAACCCTCAGTCGTCTGAATGCATTGTCTGGCAGTCACACCATGCAGGCATGCCGGGGAGGAAGAATGTGAATTCTATGGGAGCGGTATCATCTTGAAAGCTCAGCAGTCATCCTTCTAGGGGGAACCACCAATCTTGCATAGTGCCCCTCCAGCCCCCCATTATCGCCTCACCAATGTGCATTGGTTTCCGGAGGGACAGCCCCGCCAGGCGCTCAACCCCGGAGTGCAGGGTGGCGGAGAAGAGGGCGGTGACGCGGCGCAGCGTCTGGGCCCCGTCCCTCCTCTCGTCCAGGAGGCCCAGGATCTCGGCTGGGGGGAAGGAGGGGAGCACGACGCGTGAGTGCCAGGCAGGGCGCATTCAGAGTGCTGTTATCAAGTCCCTTCTCGACGTACGAGGAGCATCAGAGGGGGTCCCATCCAGATGCACTATGCCTGCTGCCCGAGGTGGACACCGCATTCAAGGGCACAGCGCCAGCGTAAGAAGCCTAAAAATGTCCTGCCACACCCTGCGAGTGAGAGACGCAAGGCCAAGCCCAGTTCTCACCCCCCCATCCCCAAACACCAGCCCTGCTCCCACCTATCTTCTTTCCAAACCCCAGGTCCAGCAGGCGGTCTGCCTCGTCCAGCACGAGCCATGCCAGGGCATCGACCCGGAACGCCTCGGTGTTTTGCAGATGGTCCAGGAGGCGGCCCGGGGTCGCCACGAGGACGTGCACCCCCTTCCTCAGCCGCGCTTTCTCGCGGCTTCGGCTCTCGCCCCCGTGCACGCTGCTGCCGACCTGGGTCCAGAAAAGGAGAGTCGAGGAGGTGAATGGGAGGCGTGCAGACTCACTGAGCATGACGAATGGAGTCCAGCAGAGCATCAACTGGGGGACCGGCGATGTGGGGTCTCTTCCCGAGTCCCACACCCAGTGGACCACTGACCAGCCAAAAGAAGCGACGCAGGAGCGCGCCCAGCACATTCTCCACCTGCGATGAGAGGTTGATGAAGAACATTTGTGGGGCCCACTGCTCAGAGCCCAAGCACACAGGCTCGCGGGTGTCTCATAGCTCATCCCCGGCAATCCACCCCAGGGTCCGCTGCTCCCTAATCCCCCTCTCCCGCACCTGCAGGGCCAGTTCCCTCGTGGGGCAGACCACCAGGGCCAGGGTGCCCTGCTCCCTGGTCACGCGCTGCGCGCGACGTGCCAGCTCAGACACGATGGGCGCCAGGTAGGCCAGGGTCTTCCCCGACCCCGTGGGAGCGTTGGCGAGGACATCCTGGCCGTCCTGCACGGTTTGGTGTGGCCCGAGGACAGAGTCTGGGAGGGAAAGCTCTAGAACCGCAGGAATGGGCCGGCCCACTGCGTGTGCCAGCCCGTCGGGCACTCCTTGGGCTGGGCAGGGCACATGGCTCCCCGCTCCCTGCAGACCCAGGGTGCAGTCGCCTCGCTGCACCCCACAGGACCATCACTCGCAAGCAACTTGCACAGGCCCTCGCCATGCCACCCCAAACTCACCAGCAGCGCTGGGATGCAGGCCGCCTGCACCGGCGTGGGCACCGCGAAGCCCAGGCTCCCCAGGTGCTGCGCCAGCTCCGGGGCCAGGCCCAGCCCTGCAAAGCCATCTGCCGGCTCGGCATCTGCCTGCCCCATGCCCACGCAGGGCCTCCCAGGCCTGGTCCTCGCCACCGCCGCCCTGGCCAGCTCCCCGGGGCGCAGGCCTGCCCCCGCGCTTTCCTCGCGGGAGGCCTGCTTCACTTTCGGCCGCTTGGGCCGCCTGCTCTGCCCGGGGGCGCCAACCCCCGCCGCGGCTCGCAGGTTGGTGTACAGCTCGTCGTCGGACGACGTGGCCCCCTCATCCTCCGACCACCCGGCTGCGCCCGGCGCTGTGGCAGCGGCAGCGGCGGCGGCGGCGGCGGCGGCGGCGGCGGCGGCGGCGGCGCCCAGCTCCTCCTCCAGCGCCGCGTCGCGCGCGGCGAGGTTGGAGACCAGGGCATCGAGGATTGACCCCGGGCCGGCCTGGGCCTCGGCGTCAGAGTCCTCAGAGTCTACGGGGGCCACCATCACATCGTCGTCTGCAGGGTTGCACAGGCGTCGGGGGGTGAGCGTGCTAGTGGAGCGGGGCGGGAAAGCAGGCCCACTTGACTGAGTCGCCAAACACCGTGCCATGGCCTGGATGCTCTGGGGTCCAGCAGTGAAGCTCGATGCAGCACGGACTCAAATCACCATGCATGAGGACAGTCGCAGGCCTGCAGGTCGGTCTCCCTCTGCAACTCCCCGCACCACACCACCACACCTGGCGTCGCCTCTCGCTCGCCGGCCTTCTTGGAGGCGGCTCGCATCTGGCCTGCCGGCGCAGGGCGCTCCCAAACATCCTGCTTGCTTGGCCTGGCACGGAGCTCGGGTGAGGCGTCTCGGGGACCGGGAGACCCAGCCCCGGGGGCCTCATCCTGAGGTTCCCGGACTGATCGAGCTGACGTCCTGAGGCGTTCGTGCCTGCCTTCGGGCTTGTTGCTGCGCACAGTCTGCGCATGCGACCCTCTTTCTGGGTGGCGAGGGACGGCGTGTCCATGGAGCGCACGGCCCCTGTCTTGTGCGGGAGCCTCCAATTTAGGGGCAGGTTCCAAATCATATCCCTTCAGGACGCCCGTCCGGGCCTGGGGTATTGCGTTGCTGCCGCTGGAGGGCGGGGGTAGGCCCTGTCGGATCCGCTTGCGCTGCAAGAAATTCAGGGACGGCAAGCGGTGTGTGTCAGTGATTTGCGAGAAGGAGAATAGAAAAGAATTCACAGTACCCCAATGGCAATCATATGCACTACTAGCCTTTGTTGCAACCCTTCAACCTTGTCTTGTCGTCGCTGAGTCCACTTTGTCGCACGCTGTGCGCCTCGGCTCAGGCCCGATGAGGCTGGAAGCTCGGAGGTGAGGTTCAGGACGAACCCATCGTCCTCTGCCATGGCATCTGCTTCAGAAACAGTATATAAAAAAGTTCACAATGGCGGTGCTAGAGCAGTGTCCTGCCTCCATGGGCACGGGCGCCCTGTCGAGCGCCCTGGCTGGACCTGAGGAAAGGGCGCGAGGAGATTTGAAGGGCGCGCCAGCTGCTCCAATATCCGCCTGTGCTCCTTGGCCAGGACAAGTCGCGGGAGCAGCCCACGATATGCGAGGGAGCGCAAAACTATACGACTCAAGTCCTGAGCATATCCTGTACAGTCTCGAGTCGCTTGTCGGGTGGCTCACTCCCGGATGTCGCAATTCTCCTTTCCCCTGCTTTCGGAGCGGGAGATATGCCATAGCCTGGGCGAGCTCGGCATGAACGTGGGGCCGGACCACTTCAGCAAACCTTCCTATGAGCTGGTGCAGCCGGTGTATGAGAACCTCGTCTCCGTGCTGGTGGGCGTTTCGAGGTGAGGAGCAAGACCGTGAGTCGTGTCGGGGTCAGGTGTTAACACTGAACATCATCATTCGGGGCTCAGCCGAACCACGCCACGTCCCTGCTCTCACCATGCAGAGAGGAGCTCCAGCAGCCCGTTTTTGCAGCCATCGGAAACCTCGAGTTCCCTGAACTGCATGATGAGTCAATCCCTGCCCTGGCCTTCATCACCCATTTGGGAAAACTCTTGGCGGCTTCAGGCATCAAAGATTTCTCGCTCAGGGTGGGTAAACAATGGGTCTGTGCACCCCGATAGATCACACATGGCCGGTGAAGGGCACTTTAAGTGTCAGAGGGCAGGCATGCTGAGGCCGGTGGAGTGGCGGGCAGGTGCTGTGACGGTGTCTGAGCCTTAGGGGCACCCATTGTGGTATCCTGATGCTTTCGCAGCAAGGTCCCCCCTTTTAAGTGAAGGATATGATTCAAGCAAGCGGTTCTGCGCTGCTCATTGCAGGACCTCCATAAGCCCGATGGACAGCGGCTGCGGCGGAACTTGTCGGCCATCATCAACTTTGCTAAATTCCGTGAGGAGAAGCTCATCGCCTATGCGGAGCTGCAGGTCAGTTGCGAGGGCGTGGTCAAGGCGATGCGGGGGCGTGGAGACTGCGGCATGTGTCCATGTTGCCATCGGGAGGGACTGCACCTTGGCTGCCTGCCAAATCTCATGCCTACCTGTCCGCTGACAACCCTCCTTTCTTGCACCACCTAACCTCCCCCCCCCCCTTGCCGATCGCTGCAGGACCACTTCCAGAGCCTGGTGATGGCCAGGGACGAGGCAGAGGGCGCCAATGCCGACCTGCACGCCGCGCTGGACGAGCTCAGGAGGACGGCCGCGCATGAGCAGCCGGTGCGTTGATTGGGGTCACCGCCGAGCGCCTGCTGCCAGAGGCTCGCCGCTCGTTGCCGCCCAGTCATACCCGTGCAATGACTGGGTTTGGCTGCGCTCTGGTTCAGGCTGCTCTGTGAACCGCCATCTGTTCAACACCGAAGCCATCCCCTTCCTCTCCTCCCTCTCTCGAAGGATGTGGAGCGCCTGACGGCCACGGCCGAGGCGGTGTACTCCGAGAATGCGGCGCTGAACCGGCAGCAGGCGGCGTTGAGCTCCGAGGTGAAGGCGCTGAAGCAGGACGCCAACGCGCTGACGGACGAGGCGGCGGGGCTGCGCCTGCGCCTCGCCTCGGCGCGGGGCGAGGAGGAGCTGCTGCGTGGCCAGGTGGTGCAGAGCCCGCAGAAGGCGGCGGCCGCGCTGGAGGCCCTGGCCGCCGCGCTGGAGCGAGAGCGGGATGCCGTGTCGGAGGCGGAGCGGCGGCAGCGCGACACCGCCGCCCGCACCGACGCCGTGCACCGCGTGGAGAAGGAAGTGAGCAAGGCGCTGGCGCTGATGGAGGGTGCGGAGCTGGAGATCGGGCGCAAGAAGGAGGTGTCGCGCGAGGTCAAGCGCCTGCGCGCCGAGCTGGCGGCCGGCGAGCACGAGGCGGCGCAGCTGAGCGCCACGCTGGACCTGCTCAAGCGCCAGACGGCGGTGGTGGAGGAGAGGGTGGAGCTGCTCA